CTTATATTTCTTTTCATAACTGTTCAATTTACCTGTTCATCATTGACTGGCTGATTTTTTCTTTTTAGTTTCTTGAGTTTTAAAAATGTTTAGATGCCAGTGCTGTTGGATGAATAGCTTGCAAGAATTTCCTCCTGGTTTGTAGGCTGTCTCTTCACTACTTACTTTCCCATGATTCCCAAACCTCACTCTGTATAATCCCATTGGTTACTTCTTGACATCTTAGGCTACAGTCCTATTGTGCCTGTAGCTTTAAGTGTTTTTCCTGTTTTCTTCTAGTAGTTCCAGGTGTTGCATTAATTTCAGTTTTCCTAATACAAATTGAAGATTCTGTCTTTTCTCCAATATATCTTGGCATCTTTGTTTAAAATTGGATGTTTATAGATCCACGGATTCATTTCAGAGTCCTGAGTTCCAGGTTATTGTTGGTCTCTGTTTTTGTGTCAGTACCATGTTGTATTCGTAGTCTAATTTGAGGTCAAATGTTGTGATATCTGTTGTACTGCTTTTTTTGCTCAGGATTGCGTTGACAACTGAAGGTCTTTTGTGCTTTCATATTAATTTAGATTAGTTGTCATTAATGTTGGAATTTTGATTGGGATAGCACTGATTCTATAGATTGCTTTTGGCAATAGTCATTTTCCTCCTGCCAGTCAATAGATGTACTTTTTCCTCACCTTCTAGTGTCTTCAATTTCTTCCTTTCTACTACTCTTTTCACTGTAAAAGTCTCTTTGTTTAGGTTTATTTCTAGGTCAATCTGTCCTTCCTTCCTTCTTTCTTTTTGAGACAGAGCCTGTCTACATCATCCTGGCTGTCCTAGAACTTGCTATGTAGACCAGGCTGCCCTCAGACATCCTGCCTCTGCCTTTCAAGGGCTGGAATTAAAGGAATGCACCAGCACTCTCAGCCTGATTTCTTGTTTCAACATATCCATTATCTATGTTTATATAGAAAAGCAACTAATGCTAATTTGATCTTGCTACTTTGATGAAACGCTTATTTGGATATAAGAGTTTTCTCAGAGTCTGAAATCAGGATAATTGAACATTTTCCTTTCCTATGTGTATACTTTCTCTCTTGCCTTACTGCTCTGGCTTGAGAATTCAAGAACTATATTGGATAGCAGTAGAGAGAATAGACATTTTTCTTTTTAAAATATTTATGTTTATTTTGGGGTGGCCTGTGCTTGCCATAGGGTGCCAGTGGTCAGAGAACAACGTTCAAGAGTTGGTTCTGTCCTTCTACGACATGGGTACCAGGTATTGAACTTAATTTGTCAGCCTCAATAGTAAGCACCTTTACCTGCTGAGCTATCTCACTAGCTCAGCAATTGTTTCCCTATTCCTGAATTTACAGGGAATGCTTTCAAATTTTTCTCCATTTAGTATAGTGTTTGCTGTAAGTTTTCTTTTAAAATTATTTTTCTGCTTTCATGTGTGTGGTGTGCAAGTGTGTAAATGCATGTAAGCACACACATGAGTGGATACATGAACACATGGATGCTCATGCAAGAAGAGATCCAAAGTTGATGTAAGGTATCATCTTATATCACTCTTCTACCTTATTCATTGAGGTAAGACCTCTCAATCAAACTCAGAGTTCACTATAAGGCTAGCTTCACTACAGACACACATGTACACACACATACAGAGAGAGAGTTTACATGAATTCTGGAGATCTGAACTCCAGTCTTACACTTGTATGTAAATACTTTAACCATGGACTCATCTTCCCAACTCTTAACTTTAAATTTACATTTATTTATGTTTGTGTTTGCATATGCCACACCATTCATGTAGTCAGGAGACAATTTTCAATTAGCTGGTCTTTGTTACTTTGTGGGTTCTTTTTCCCACCCTTTATTCCCTTAGTTTTACCCCCTAACAACAGATAGGAGAAAAACAAGGATAAAGGTGAGAGAATTAGGAAAATCCACAAATCTGATTTCTTCCCTTTTGTTTCTTCTTTGACCACAGCTACTAACAAACCACGACCAACCTCCCTAAACAACAAACCACCATCACCTATCAGGGCTCTAGCATTTATATAGACTCTGATAAGTTCCCAGAATTCCAAATGTTACACAACTGCAGAAATTATCTGCAGCTAGCAAAACCATGTCTCTGCTAGAGCACGAGGCAAATGATAGTCAGCTGCTGCAGACAGTCCGAAGCAGCCCCCTATCTCCACATCTGGAATGAAAATAGAAACACATTCTTATATTTCTGTGTTTTTTAAAGAAACCAAAATTCCAGAATTCTTAAGAATGTCACTACATTTTGGGAGTTCTCTCTGTTCACCAGGTAGATCCTGGGGATTGAACTCAGGTGGTCAATCTTAGAGGGAAGTGCTGTTACCCAGTACTAACTCTCTTACTATGTTAAGGTCTTTCTAGACCTAGATGCTTCAGAAAAAGTATGGAAGGGTATTGAACTTTGTCAAATGTATGTCTCTATTGAGATGATCATATGATTTCTGTGTCTGATTCTATTTATGTACTAAATTAATTTACTAATTTGCTTGTTTTTGAACCACCCTGGAATAAAATTAACTTGATCATGTTGTATGATTTTTTTAAATGTGGTACTAATCTCAGTTTGCAAGTATTTTATTGAGAAAAGTTGCTTCTATGTTCATAAAAGAAACCAGCACTAAAACATTGTGATCTGTGAGGAAAGGTTAAAAAGAAGATGATGAGTACTGGGAGAGACAGAAAAGTAGCACATTTGCAGAAGTGAATGGAGCAATAAAAAGATAGAAAATAGTGAATAGCAGAATATAATATAAAGGACAGGCTGGAGCCAGATGATTCATAATACATGGTAATATTTCTAGGGACAAACTTTCCAGAGAGCAAGGACAAAGAATGGAACAAAGAAACAACTAAAGTGGCAGTCAACTGAACACACACACACACACACACACACACACACACACACACACACACCAATTTGGAGGCTACCACAAAAATCCCCAGGAGACAGGGGTCCTGAATGAGGGCAGCAGACTTGGGAACTAAAATCTAAAGCCTTGCAGGGTCATGTAAGTGATTTAAACTGATGATTTTCTACTACATACTGGGAATAAAGACAAGCTTCACATTAAGTGGATTTTAACAAATCCATTGGGGAGTCAGCCTTTTATAAATTCATGTTTGTAAAAATATTCTGAATATAATATATATTCCTAAACTCAAACTTAAAAATTCTGATCAATGTGCACTGGCAACTTTATTTTTATGAAAACAAAGATAAAATAAACATATATACTGATTAAAAACATGCTTAATCACAAGTATAACATAGCCTCTAGTCAGCTAACAACATTAAAAACTCTTTTGACCCCAGTAACTGCCAAACACTAAACAATATATACCAACGAGTTTACAGAAGAACCCAACTCTGAATATAAGTGACTTAAGGTAAAAACAAACAAAAAAAAAAACTAAGCTAAAGGCACAAAAGATCTAATATAATGACTTAAAGAACAAAGCCTAAGTTTATTTCTTTCATGTTCTGATATAAAAGGTCTCAGTTGGTGGTAGAGCTGTTTCATGACACACTTACAGGCCCAGGGTCCTTCTGGCACATTATTTCACCCCCACCCCCACCCCCTTAATACTGTTATTTAGACTAGGACAGAAGAAAAATTATCTTGAGTTCCAATTGGTAAGTAAGTTGTTTTCAAGCCTGCCTGGAAAGGGCACTCACTACCTGAGTTCACACTTGGCTGACAGGAACCTGCAATGAAACTGAGCCATGCATAGACCTGTGTGCCTCAGAAGGGAATTCTGGATTCCTATAGATAGGATAGATAAGTAATCTCTGACAAAATGGTCTTTGAAACAATATAAAATGCCTTTCATTATGAAATAGTTGAAATAAAAGGATAGTAGTAGTGACTCTGAGGAAGGAGAGGATTTTTGAGAAACTGTGAGATTCTAGCAATGCAAGCAGTTCACTTAGGCTGGCTGGCCAGTGAACTCCCAAGATCTACCTGCCTCTGCCTCTAATACTGAGGTTACAGACACATGTAGCCTTGCCTGGCTGGCTTTTTTTTTTTTTAATAATCTGAGAACAAGGAGTTCAAATTCAGCTGCTCAAACCTGCTGACTTTTTCACTGAGCCATTATCTCTCCAGCCCCAAGTACTATTATCTCTTAACTGGGAAATTATGCTTATGAATGGCATTTGTGTTAATACTTGGCAAAACTCTCAACCAATTTCATCTCAATGTTCTTTTTTTTTTTTTTTTTTTTTGGTTTTTCAAGACAGGGTTTCTCTGTGTATCCTTGGTTGTGCTGGACTGCACTCTCTTTGTAGACCAGGATGGCCTTGAACTCACAGAGATCCACCTGTCTCTGCCTCCTGAGTGCTGGGATTAAAGGTGTGCACCACCACACTCCGCTTCAACATCCTAACTTAATATCACTTATAACTTATTTTGTAGGAAAAAAATAAACCACAAAATACTGGCTTTGCTAGTTTAAAACACCTTGATGTTAGAAACCTTTCAGCTGGATCTGTGCCTGGGAAGATATACCACAGCTTTTTACTATCATAAACCCATATAGACAAGCCCCTTCTTTTCTGATACCCAGGGTTTACACATTTCATTGCAGTACAGTGACAGAAACACTTCTCTTATGACCATATATAACAGCAAGTACTATGTAAAATTCAATAATCTGATAGTCAACTAAGAGGCATTTAAAAGGCTTCATTTCCTTTGAAGACACTAGAATACCTTGAACAGGAAAGAGTGTGTTTTACTAAAACAATGTGATTAAAGAACTTAGAATTCAGGTAAGCAATTTAGTTACAATGACTGGGGAAGGGAGCGGGGACAGTAAACCACTTCCTTTGTAGGCAATGAAAATCCCTACAAACTATAATGTTCTAATGGAATAATTTATTATAGTCATTTCACCTTTCAGTCTTAGTCTTTAAAATAATTAACATTCAAAACAATAAAAGGAAAGCTCATATAATTACTTACTCTTTGTACTCTCTTCCTCATTTTTAGAATCCACTAAATCACCTGAACGCATAGCAGACAAAATCTTCTGAGCAACAGTGGAGAGGGGTGTCTCACAGAGATCAAAACCTATACATGCCTCATAATTTTCCATTCTCATAAAGTCCTAAATATAAGATAAGTACCCATATATTAATTTTTAGACTTTAAAAGGACTTACATATATTTTCATTTAAAAGACAGGTTTTGATTATCTGATAGGGTGGAAAAATGAGAAGTTGTTGGTGCAAGCTGAATTGGGAGGCTGAGGCAGGAGGAACACAATTCAAGCCTGTCTAGGTTATAGAGCAAGTTCAAACACAACCTGGGCAATTTAACAAGACCATCTCAAATATTTTTAAAGAAGTGCTGGGCATAGAGCTCAGTGGTAGAGCATTTGCTTGGTATGTGTAAACCCTAGGCTTGATTACCCAGTGCTACAAATCAAAACAAAACCAACTAGAGGCTCATTTCAGGGATCATGATAAACAGATAAAAAAAAAAAATCAAAAACAAAAAAACAAAAAACACTCCTTAGGTGGTGGCAGCACATGCCTTTAATCCCAGCACTCAGGACGCAGAGGCAAGTGAATCTCCGAATTCGAGGCCAGCCTGGTCTACAGAGTTCCAGGACTGCCAGGGCTACAGAGAAGCCCTGTCTGGGAAAAGTAAGGGAACACCTCACTTTCTAATTAACCAACTATGAAGTAGCCTCTGAAAACTAGTTATTATTAATTTTCAGGCATACAACTCTGACAATAAAGTAATTACTGACTTGGGTCATCAAGGCAGACAAACAACCTGCCCTCTTGGCACTGACATTTCCTATTGGTCCCCATGAGCAGGACAACTCGGGGCATTTAAACAAACAGCTATCAGTTATATCTTAGAAAATTTAACATTAAGATTTTCCCAACTACATTAGGTTTACCTAACAAAAATAAATTTGTGTAACATGATATAATAGACAAAAATGCATTTGCTTCATGAATTATAAGCATTAACAATGCATGCCCATTTTCTATCTACAGATAAAGTCCATAAACTTTCTGAATTATGTGTGTTTAAGACTGACATTACATATAAAAAAAGTATTCTTAGAGGTATCTCCTAGAGCAGAACTCTTTTTGGCTGTCCTGTTTGAGACCAGGCTGGACTAGAACTAGAACTCACAGTGATCCACCTGTCTCTGCCTTGAGTGCCTGTGAGTGCTGGGATTAAAGATGTGTGCTACCATGCCTGGCTCCAGCAGAACTTTTACAGTATTTACTATTAGCACAGTCATATCATGAGATGAGCTCTTTGAGGGCACTTGATAACTGACAGGCAGTGCAGTGTGGTGGTGAGTGCTGGTAATCTCAGCATAGTCAAGGCAGGGTCATGAATTCAACACCAATCTGGGCTACAAGGCAAGACCTTATCTTAAAAAAAAAAAAAAAAAAAAAAAAAATTTAAAAATCAAATTGAAGAGCTACTTCAAACCTTTAAAATAATTGTCTAACTCTTTCTTCCCTAAGAAACTGATTTACATATGGATCATAAATTCTTTAAGCAACCATTTATACATAATTTTGAAACTTAAATTTCAAATTCCATTACTTATGCTGTATCACACTGGTTAAAGCTCCAGTATGAGCCACCAAAACTTAGTCCCTAGAATGGAAATGCTCAGGAGTCCTCAAACTCTGTGATGCAAGTAGAAACATTTAAACTTCTCAAAGGTTACAATAGAGAATTAGGGGAAAGCACTCCCACAAGCAGAATTTTACTTTAGTCAAATACAAGGTTTAGCTACTGAATATACAACAGTATTATCATACCCAGAGGAGATAAAAATATAAGACCCAAATGAAATTGCACATTTTCATTTAGAAATCTATGATGTATCTGCTATCAGATAAGTGGACTAACAAAAAAAGTCAAACACATAGCAGAGATACATCAAACAAAAGACACATCCTAGTAGGAAGTGTGAGAGTCCACCACATACACAGAAAAGCATACAACTTAAAACTTTACTTCTGGGATTTTTTTTTTAATTCAGTATTTTCAGATCACAGTTGACCTCAGGTCACTAAAACCTTAAAGAGCAAAACTCAAAAGTTCTACAAAATTTTGAAATGCCAGTCTCAGATTCAATTATATATTTAAGTATTTGTACAATATGCATTTTTCCTGCAAGTAAAATTACACAAAGACTAAGTGGCACCAAGGAAATATGTCATGAAAAGTGCTGATAGTATGCCTGACATGCCTATGTTGGCACTGGAGAGGCAAAGGCAGGCAAATCCCTTAAACGCAAGCCCAGTCTGGCAAGCCCGTGCTACAAAAGCTCAGCACCTCTACTCTGAACAATGGTTACATGGGTTAAAAACCAAACTGATACACACTGAATATTCCCTCTCTCAAATGGGCGGGACCAAATATTTTAATTTTTGTACATATAAATTAGTTATCTTAGGGATAGAACCCAAGTTGAAATGTGAAATTCATTTATATTTCAAATTTTCTACAAATAAGACTGAGGGTAGTTTTATAATCTGTTCTGTGACTCTGCCCTGTCATGTAAGATCAGATGTAGAATTTTTCACTTGTGAAATCATCCCAGTTGTTTATAAGTTTCAGATTTTGGAGCATTTAAAAATTTCCAATTAGGGAAGTCAACTTGACTTTGAATCTATTAAATTGTTCTGTTTTCTTTAAAGATTTATTTACTTTATATTTGAGTGCTCTATCTGAATGTATACCTGCATGCCAGAAGAAGCTATCAGATCCCAGTACAGACCATCTATGTGGTTGCCAGGAATCAAACTCTGGATCTCCGACCCAGTGCTCTTAACCGCTGAGCCATTGCTCCAGCACTGAGGCTGCTGAGATGGATTAGTCACTGCTACCAACACTGATAACCTGATTTCCATTCCCAGAGCTCTCATGGGAGAAGGATAACACCAACTCCTGCAAGGTGTTCTCATATCCAATATGATACACACTACCGTATAAAACCACACACAAACACACACATCCCTCCCTACAAACAAAATATGTGAGAAAAATTAGTAGCATTTATTAGATATAGTCTCCTGATACTTAAAAATGAAAACATAGTAGGCATATAAGAACTCCATTTTTAAAAATCTTCAATCTTTAAGACCAGAAGCCTTAATCTTTGACTGGTTTTCTAAATTTTCCACAATATCTTTTAGATAGTCTTCATCTTTAAAAAAATATACATATAATTCTCTTCCCACTTGATCCAATTTATTTGTTGCTAAAACTTTTCTTTTTGTCTTCACATCAGCAAGAATATCAGTAAGGAGATGATTTAATTTATTCAGCTGAGATTCAACTTGATGAAAGTGCTCCATTAACTCCTAAAAAGAGGGGGAAAAAAAAAAAACACTTTTATTTCAAGAACTTTATTCCTAACACCAGCTAGAAATTTAAAATATTATTTGAAAGGAAATTCAATGATTTAATAACTCCTCATAATAAAAAGCTATGAGTCTGGAGTGGTGGTACACTTGGGAGACAGAGACAGGAAGATCTGAGTTCTAGGCCAGCCTGATCTACACACAGTTAATTCCAAGCCAGCCAAGGCTATATAGTGACATACTGTCTTTAAAAAAAAAAAAAACAACTAAAGAAAAACAAAACAAAAACCTGTAATTAAAAATCACTGGGCTGAAGAAATGGCTCAGTAGATAAAGGTACTCGTTATCAGACCTGATAACCCAATTGATCCCCCAAAGCTACGTTTGAAGAAAACAACAGACTCCCAACTGTCCTCTGATCTCTACACACAAAGATAAATGCAATGAAATTTTTGAAAAGAAAAAAGATAACCCTTAACAGGTTGGGCATGTGCTCATGTGTGTAATCCCAGCAGCAGGAAAGTTGAGGCAGGACAGCTCTAAGTCTGAGGTCAGACTGGGATACACAACGAGGTTCACACTAGTCTGTACTGCAGCATGAGACCCTATGTCAAACAAACAAGCAAGTAAGCAAATAGGTTTCCATCAGACTTATAGTCGACATAAAATTAACTGTGATAACATCTAATAGGTAATTCTGAATGACTCAATGCAAACTCTTACTTCCTGAAGTGTACCTGATCTGTTCTGTGTATTTATATAATTAAAAAAATATTATTGAATGCCTACCTTGCATCAAGCACTGTTTGTAACTACTGACACAAAAAAATGAACAAAATCTTTTTCCTGGAAGTTTTATTATATTATATAATTAATCAAACTTTATTGTTGCTTACTCTGGGCCTGATACATATAAATGCAGAAAAAGCCTTGAAGTGAAGTCTAACAAAAAAACTATTACTTCAGTTTGGACACACAAACGCCTTGTTATGGAAGTTACTCAGGAAGCTCTGCCTCCTGTCCTTCTCAGAGGATATACAGGCAGTTAACAGTTGGGAAGGAGACTCTAGTAAATTAGTTGTCCATGCTCCTTAATTAGCCTCTCATTCAAATCCTGTTAGCTATCACAATTAAACTCACTATCATTGGTGAGTCTCAGCTGGGTGCGTAGATGGTTTATTCACATCTCTGAGGAACTAGAAATATCTGCAAGGTGGATTTTAGAACATCAGCCAGACCACCAACATTTGCACCCACATTGGCTAAAAGACACAAAGGACCACAGTGGTCCTGAGGTCTGTAGAAATGGTAGGTTATTTGACTGTATTATATAATCACATTGACAATAAAAATCCACAATGGCATGGTGCTTTTCTTTAACCTTAAAAGAAAACAAAAACCAAACCTGTCTCAAAGAAAATCTTTTCTCTTTTTTTATCTTGTAAAATAGAATTACACAGAACACTCAATGAAAACCACGCTAACATATGTAATTCTTCTGCTTAAGAACTCAAGACATTTTCTAAAGCCTTAATGTGTAATAAATTTTATTTTCTTCCTGTTGGCATTTAAAGGATTTTAACAATTCTCAACAGTTGTCCAATCAAGCATTCTAGTCTTCAAAACTGTAGCCAGTCATTAGCAGAAATTCTCACTAAGTCTATAGCTCTAACTACCGCCAACATTCCAGAGCGTCTGGGCCTGGCCCACAAGCAGCTGGGTGCTTGTTGTGAAAACACAATTAATTCCTGGGCCTCAATTCACGCTAAATTATTCAATCTCTGCAGCAGACCCACGAGTCAGCATTTCAATATTCTACTCCCTGGTGATTCTAATGTGCAAATTTTTAAAAATGACTGTTTTTAGACCTGTCACATATGCTAATTTCAGACTAGTACTTCTAAAACTACATTTTTAAGAAAACAGGTAATTCTGACATTATTGTGTACTTTTAATGTTCTCTAAGAAAATTCTGGTAAACAAAAATTTGGTACACTAATAAACTTTAATTTTAATTAAATCATAATGCTTTATGGTACTAAAATAAATATTACGACAGCATCTACTATAAAAATGTTCAACCTAACTAATAAAAATGACTTGACTTTTTAAATTTCCTTTTTTTGGTTTTTTGGTTTGTTTGTTTTGTGGACAGAGTCTCATTCTGTAGTTCTGGCTGTCCTGGAACTATATAGGCAATGCTGGTCTTGAACTCACATAGCTCTGCCTCCTTCTGCCTCCCAAGTGGTAGGATTAAGGCACAGCCTGACCTGACTTTTTATATACTGATGAGGCAGTAAAAAACATTAATATGGGAGTTTAGTTTGGGCTTGAGTTTGTACACAACTGATAATTGCCTCCTGCCGGACATGGTATTTGCCAGTTGCAACAGCCTTCCTAGTGCAGCATAGAGAGGGGCATGGTCTAGGACTCTGAGGGATTTAAATACCAGAGCCCAGAAAGAGAAGGTGTGGCGTTTGGAGAGACCAGACTGTCCTTGTGGCAGCTTGGAGGAGACAGCTGGACAGAAACTTTCAATACAGTGACTTAGAGGAGGCTGCTTGCTGCATTTGCTGTTGATGAAGATTGGTATAGCCCCTAAAGAATCCATCAACCTAAAACGGCAGGGCGAAGTGAAGGGGTCTGCAGCCCTCTCCCCATTAACCTTCTCTTACCTAGGGTTAAAGGGAGGTAAAAGCATAAATACCCCAAATAAAGTAAGAGTTTAAAAACAAGTGCAACGGATACCAAACAGCAAGCTTTTTATTTTCAGGATTCTACAATGCATTCTTTTTCAGATCTCAACTATCTGAAATGAAAATGCATCTTATAATAGAGACCATCATGTGGTAGATGCTGATGGCCAAGCACTCTTAAAATATTTTCCAGATGAAGATGGTGACTCAGACCTATAATCCTGCCACTTGGAGGCAAAGGCAAGAAGACTGCTACATAGTCTATATAGCAAGTTCCAGACCAGTAAGGACTACATGGTGAGACTCTATTTCAAATAAAACAAAGCTTTCTCCAATATTCTTGATGTACAGTGTAGATAACGAAGTCAACTTAGAGCAACTCAGAATTAAATGTGAGGCTCTAGGAGTAGCCTACACATTGTAATTGGCTTATTTTCTCCTTTTAAAATATGCTCAAGAGTAACACAATGATGGGCTAGAGTGATGGCTCAGTAGATAATGGCACCTACAGTTAAGCCTGACAACCTGAGTTCAATCCCTGGGACCATATGGAAGAAAGAAGAAAACCAACTACTACAAACTGTCTTTATTTCAATTGTGCACCATGGCACACATGCACCCACATCACACACAAATGAACAGGTGTAATTTTTAAAAAGAGTAATATGAAAAAATGTCTACCTACATCTAAAAGATCCCTTCTAGTGAAGATGTGTGTGAGAGAGTTTTCTGACCTCAAAATGAGAACCTCTGCCACTATGATATTCTGTCTAAGCACATGGGGCCACATGATCATGAATTAAACTCTCTGAAATCATGAGCCAATAATCTTTTCCACTTTAAGTTGCTTCTGTTAGGTATTTGGTCTACATAAAAGTATGTATAAGTAACTAACATAAAGACTAACCACAGAAAACTAAAAATTATTTAAACATCTGTCAAACAAGTAATTATGAAATTTTATATAATGGAACAGTAATTATATGAAGGAGAAAATTAATATGTGTCTATATAGATGATTTTCAAAAATAATGTTAAGAAACAAGTACATGCCGAGTATTGTGGCACACACCTTTAATCCCAGCACTGAGAATACAGAGGCAGACAAATCTCGGTGAGCTTGAGGCTGGCCTGATTTACACAGTGAGTAACAGTTGAGCCAGGAACACACAGTGAGCCCCAGTCTTTAAAATAAAAAATAAAATAAAATAAAATAAAATAAAATAAAATAAAATAAAATAAAATAAAATAAAATAAAAATAAAGGAAATGAAATGAAAACAAGCAAATGCTAGTCTCTGAGAAACACATTTGTAATTTTAGCACTCTGGAAGAAAAAGGAGGAAGATTGCAAGCTTAGGGCCAGCCTGAGCCACAAAATAAGTTTAGGGTCACCTTGAGCACATAATGAGACCTGTTTCAAAAAGAAGGCTGGGATTGTACCTTAATAATGAAGTCTTTCCCTAGTATGTAGAAAATTTTAAAGAGAGAAAGGCAATCCTCTATTTGCTAAAAGTTTTTTTCCTTAACACTGCATCAACATTATTTATCTAAATATATATAAATTATATATATACATACATATATACACATACACACACACATATATATATGGAGTTTAAAAAAATCATAAGGTTTTTATATGGTGGCATATGCCTACACTTCTAGTACCTGGGAGATTTTGATTGGAGACTAGCATAGCTACATGGCAAGACCCTGTCTCTCTAAATAAGTAAATTTTATATTAGTGTAATGGGTTAGGGTAATCTTTTCTTCATGATATTTTCTAAGAAACATTATTTTTTAAAGTTATTATTTTTTTTAATTTGAAAAAGTATTTTTGCTTAGATGTATGCATGTATACCACATGTGTGCCTGGAACCAACAAAGCAGGACATCAGAACCAATAGAACTAGAGTCACAGATGGTTGTGAGCCACCATATGGGTACTAGGAATGCAACATAAGTCCTTTACAATAGCAGCAAGTGTTCCTAACTACCAAGTCAGCTCTCCAGCCCTTACAATAAACATAATTTTTAAAGCATTTTAAATTTCTAAGTAAACACTCACCTGATCACAAAGCAATAGCTGATTCCCTCCATGGTACAAAGCATCACAAAGCATGTCCACATCATTATTCAGTTTAGACAGAAAGAAAAAACGCTCTTCAGTAGATACAGTCAACTGATCTTGTGTTAGAGAAACATCTTGTTTCAATTTCTCAGCTACTTCCTCCAGGTGTTCATGGGTTATAAACAATTCTTTTTTCTTATTGTCTCCCTCTAAAAGTTGATAAAGCCTAAAATACAAAAATTAAAATTAAAGAGAAAAATGTTCAGGTCAGTTGTTTTCAAAATTATAACCCACCATACTGGGTCACAGACAGTGAGAGCTAAGTAACTACTGAAAAGTAGTAATATATGTGTTTCTAATACTGAGCAATTGAAACTGTCTCAAGTATAATACTATTTCAAAAGAGAAATATCTGACTTTTAAGTATGTGTTACAACCCTGTCATCCCAGCACTCAGGAAGCTAAGGCAGGTGAATGATAGGCTCAGGGCTCATCTTAGCTATATAGCAAATTCAAGGCTAGCAAGACACTATTCTCATTAAAAAAAAAAAAAAAAAAAAAAGAAAGAAAGAAAGAAAGAAAGAAAGAAAAGAAAGAAAAGAAAAAGAAACAAGAAAATAATTCTTTAAAAGAAACATCTGAGTTTCCAGCTTTTCCATCTTCCATATTTTCAGTATAAACTTCACCTTGATTCTTAGTTGCCATTAATTTATTTCAAAGTGAGCTTCAGTGACACGTCCCAAGCAGCAGCAACAATGATGTAGTTAAAATCAATCTTTAATGCCTATTTCACAAGAATGTGGTGGGATTAAAACAGAAAAACTAAACTGGGCATGGTGGCACATGACTGCAATCCCAGCACTCAGGAGGCAGGGGCAGAAAGACTCTGTGAGTTGGAGACCAGCCTAGTCTACAGAGTGAGTCCAGGACAGCCAAAGTGACACAGAGAAACCCTGACTTGAAAACAAAACAAAAAACCAAAAAAGAGAAAAACTAAAAATGTAAATACTGTAAAATTCAAACAATTAATAGCTATATGAATAGCCATTAACACTTTATATTTTAATTTGTTCAGCATTGGTAAAAATCCTGCTAATTAACAAGACCATTTTAACGTTGTACTTAATGGGGAAAAAAAATCCACCAGCCTACAGGACAAAAAAAAAAAAAAAAAAAATCTAAAGCAGTCTCATAAAAAGACATGGTCTTTTAGTCATAATATACATAACTTGCTTTCTCTCTTCACACACACAAATCTTAACAGACTATAAAACTGGTTGAAGTTCAAAGCGGCCCATTATAATCCTGGGGGCTATAAATACTCAATTACCCAATGTCACATTCACATAGATCATGATCATGATGTAGATGGTAACCCCTAAAATTAAAACAATGAGGAAATTCTAAGTCACTCATTTTACTAATACGAAACAAAATGATTTAGACTATGTTATTTTTTGTTGTCTTTCTTTTTTTTTTTTTGAGTTTTTTGACAGAGGGTTTCTCTGGATAGTCCTGTCTGTCCTAGAACTCCCTCTGGAGACCAGGCTGGCTACAAACTCAGAGATCCACCTGCCTCTGCCTCCCCTGTGCTGGGATTAAAAGCCAAAGTATGTTATTCTGATCCTATAGAAAAATGAGGACTAGCATACAAAATTTGTATGTATGTTTGCACATGCACATAGGGAGGGCAGGGGTTGGTGTTGAGGGTCTTCTTCAACCACTCTCTGCCTCACTTTTTAACAAAGTCTCTCACAAACCTGGAACTCACCTATTCTGTGAGACCGGCTGGCCAGCAGGCACTAGGAATCCTTCCTCCTCTACCTCTCCAGTGAAAAGGCAACAGAAACGTGGCCCTGCACCTGGCTTTTATGTAGTTTCTGGGGAATCAATTTCAGGTTTTCAAGCTTGTACACAAGCACTTCAGTGACTGAGCTATCTCCCCAGTCCTGTCTCCTTGCCAGTTCGTTCTTTCTTTAAAATACAAAGTCTCATTGTGCGGCTCAGGCTGTCCTAGAATTCTTGCTATGTAGCCCAAGCTGACCTCAAAATCAGGATTCTCCTTCTCCAGCTTCCAGAAAGTGAAATTAAAGATATAATCCCATCACCACACAGGATTTAAAACACAAGTGTTTGCTGAACATTTTCATTTTATAGCCCATGAAGACCTCAAATTTAGATTTCTGCCCCAGCCTTCTCATGGGATTACAGATATGAGCCACCACAACAGCAGAGTACAGACTTGAAATATTCTACTTTAGCCTTCTAATTGCAGTATCTTGGTGTCATCAATTGCTTAGATATTCAGGAAAGGCTAGATTTCATTTCTAGTGGTCTACTTCCCCAGATAGGGAAATAGTCTTCCTGTCCTACGACTACAATCAGTACCATGATACTGATATAATGACACCTGTATACATGATACAAGATATAATCAGTACCATGACCAGCAATACCTATGATACAAAGCTGTATTCAAATTTCCTGTCCCAAATCTAAAATAAAGTATCTAAATAATGGTATCTACCTGGGAGTAAAGTATTTTATCAGTTTATTCCCCCAACTCACTGACTTCAGCTCTAAAGTGGCTACATTCAGACCTAACAAGAACAGAAAGGAAACAAAAAATTTAAAAGATAAAGAAAAGCAGAAAGGCCAAATCTGAGTACAAACAATATTTTTAAACCTTCAAAATTTCTGTTCCAACTCTCTAGTACTTCACACAAATAAAAGAAAAAATACTAAGGAAGCAATGACACGTACATACCTATGAGCAGAATAATCCTTAGTGTTGATGGGAGTCCTTGAGCTTAACCGCTCAGATGCCGGTAGACCTGTTAGCCTTGTTAACTGCTGGCAGAGCACCATGTTTCTTTGCCTAAGTTGTTGAACCAAATTTTCAAGTTGCCGATATGTATCCCAATGTCTTCTCAACTCAATTTCATATGATAGCTGTACAAGCTCAAATGATGCCTTCTGCTTTATCAACTGACTTAAAACTAACTCTTGTTTTGCTGTATAATAATCTTGTTTAGCAATCTGCAGATTAAAATCTCCCTTTACAACCGGCATGTTCAATAACTGTGCATTCTCTTTTACCACAGCAGGCAAAATTTTCTCTTTTATATGAGTGATTTGTTCTTCAAGTTTTAGAATCTCACTGTTCAAACTAGAAATTTTAGCATCCAAATTTTCTTTAACAATACCCTATAGAAAAAAAAGCAGTAACATTTTAAAAGGTAGGTTTAAACTTTTATTTTAAAATTTTCACTTTTGTTTTAGGTGGTCAGTTAATATACTCAATGAGTAAAAACTAACTTACTAGACAAAAAATTGTTTTAAAAGGAAAAATATAGATTAAGTCAAGAGAAAAGCCAGTATGAACTACTGAACTTCAGTGCTTTTACACAACATACGTACACAAAAATGGTTAACAAACTAGGAGATTTCATCATTATCTTAATTATAACTTTATCAGCATATTACTCATTATAATAAATGAAGATTTTAGTTTTTCTTAAAATTATCTCAATAGCTATTTTCTTAGCCCATCAGCTGATTATAGCACACAGATTTACCAGACTTCTTTCATTATTTCAAAATTTTTGTCTGTTGTAGTAACTAATTTAATTCTGATTCAGAAAACTCTACATTTTTAAATTCACCTATCTAATGGTACAAGAAAGCAAGCTTCTGAAGAGTGCAGGTAAACAACTACAATATATGTACATATTTTCAACAAGTAAAGAGGTTCATTCCACTGAATCCTGGGCTTTTGACTTCATTAACACCATCTTCAAAATACCCATAATCAAGCAAGTAGTCTCTCTAGCATATATCATAACACAGAAAACCCGGCTTAACCTGTATTTGAAATGACACAATTTCCAATTCATAATACATACTAAAGTATTTCTGTTCAAAAATTAACCAGGTAATATGACCAAGGATAAAACTATTAAATCCTAGTAATATGATTAATCATATACTTGTGTGAAACACATACTACAAATAAGTACTGAGAAAATATAAAATTAAAATCAGATTCCCCCTTTTCAAAAGTAGTAACAATATTAAACCCTGTATTTCTAACAATTACAATATGATTTCAGTCTTATTTCTTATGTTTACCTCGCTGGTTAGGCTATGAAGATTCTCTTCTGCCCATTTTATACTTGACTCCATGCTCAAATTACTCGCTTTCAAGTATATGATCTGTTGTTGGGCACAGATGTATGCTATCTGCAGTCTAGCCATCTCCAGTCGTCTCTCCCCAAGAATTTCTTCATTATCACAAATAGATGGTGTTTGTATATCTAAAAGCTGAAAATTTTCTTCATTTGAACTTTCAACTACTTCATGAATACCCTGAAAGAATTGCTTTTTGGTATATAAGGTTAAGGCTTCTGTGCTCTGCTCTTCTTGGCTTATATATTTTCCCAATGAAAACTGAGATAAAAACACCATTGGATTTGTCCCTTGACCTAAATTAGAATTTTTGAAGAATATCATCAAATTATTAATTCCATCAGTAAGAACTTGAAGTTCATTACTGAGCTTAGTATTCACAGCATTTAGGAATCCTTGCTTTTGTTTCAGCTTCTTAGCGGCTTCTTCTTGCTTAGCATTTAATGTCAGAGACTTGTAGTTAGTTTCGGAAGCCATTAACTGGTATTTATTTCGTTGCTGAATTTTTAAGTTATTTAACTTCTGCAGAGTTTGAACCTCATCCTCTAATTTCTGTATCTCTTTGTCATCCAGTATAGGTGTCTTCAAATCAAAAGTTTTACAGGTTCTGAGAACTTCATCCAATGCTGTTCCCTCTAGGACGGGCTTGCCTGATTGTTGAAGAGTGCTGAAGGCTTCCAATTCTTGTTCAGACAATACATTCTGTTCATTCATGTTTCCACAAAACCATTTCAAAAATGACTCATCTTCAACAGCCTCAAACAGCCAGTCAAAATCTTCTCCATTAAGAATATCAGCTTTGGGATAACCAATTTTTTTCAATGTTTCCACAAACTCATTTCCACAACTCATGGTTTAACCACCTCTGATTTTTTAATATTTGATATGAATCTATGGTAATGATTTTAAAAAACTAAGTTCAAACAAAAATATGTTTACACTAAGTCCATGGAAGAAGGGGGAAAAAATACAATCTATAATGTGCTTTCCTGGGGGGGGGAGAAAACAATTATTAGACCGCAAGGCAAACACAATTTAAATACACAGATAACTTTATAAGATGACATCAGGAAACTACTTAAGTGAAAGGCAGATGCAGGTGCAGTATCTGAGGAAAATAAAGCAAATCATGAGTATTGGGGGAGTTGCTTAGGACACTACAACAATGAGGAATCTAATTAATGAAGATACAACATTAAAATGCTGATTTATTTCAGTGATGAAATTACCTAAAATACACTACATTTTGTGAAATAGTTGTTTATTTCCTGTCGTTTCTAGTTAGTAAATAGAAACGAGACACATGGCAATCTTTTTGAGATAGAATCAACTAATATTTACCTCAATCAGCATTCATCAGGTTCAAACCAGCCTAATGCAGAGAAAACCAGTACAAGTTGACAAGTTTCAAAGTACCCAGCAGTCTTCAAGTAAAAAGTATTTATTTTATTTTTCAACCAGCGCCCTTTGATCCACGACTTGGGCCAAAAGAATGTCAGTGGCAGTGGCAGGCCTTAGAATCACATTTGGCACTCCTGTAGCAAAATCTACTGCCTGGGTTTTGTTTGTTTCGGGGTATCCAGTTGTGACACTTAGGATACCCACCGAATTGCTGTTTTTAAAAGATGGTGGTATAGTTCAGCTTTAACGCTTGCCTAGTATGACTGAGGCCCTGGGTTTTATCCGCAGCATCCGAAAAACAGGTACCAACCCCAGCCTCACCAAGCAGCCCCACCCCCGGCCCCGCACGAAGCCTCAGCCTCCCAGCGCACCCCACGCCCGAGCCCAGCGACCTCTATCGGTGCCTCAAGCTGGCTGTAGAAGGGTAGCGGCGGCCTCGCCAGCCACCAACGCGAGCCCATTACCTCAGGCGGGCCCCGCCGGCGCCCTTTGCAGCAACCAACCGCGCGCGCCGCAGTGCCTCACGGGAGTGCCGGGACGCGCACGCGCAGGGAGCCACAGCGGTAATGTCTGCGCAGGCGTGGTATTCCGGAGACGTGAGAGGAGGAACTGCTGACCGGCCCACATCGTGGACCAGGAGCCAGGCGATTGGCTTTCCTGACAGACGCACCGCCCCCTGTCTCCGCCCCCATCCCCCCCCACGGCTACCCGCGGTCCTTCCCCTTAGGCTGAAGAGAATTGTTTTTCCACTGGAGGCTCCACTGTCGCCCCGCCCCGGCCTGGAGTTGGCGTCTGGGTCTCTCGGCTGTTGGTTGCTCCGCGATCCAGGCTTCTGTCGTTCTGTTAGGCCTCCTGCTCTAAGCATGGCTTGCAGTCTTTGACACCACTATGGGACTGAAAGCTTGAGGTAGAACAGACCCTTCCCTTTCCCAGCAGCTCTTATCTCCCCCGCATCCCGCGTAGGGTGACCCAAAGTGGTGCTAGTAACAAGGTCAGTAAGTAGCAGGGTCCTCAGCAGGTCTCTTGCAGTGTAGGATTGTTGGCTACAGACTTTTACAACGGTTATTTAGCAAAATCACTTAACTCCCAAGGCCTCACTGACTTCCAAGCAAAAGCTGACCTCCTTCAAGATTCCCATCTTCAAAATGTCAGTGTAAAGTGCATGGGTTTGAAATGCTATGGAAGAAAAGTGCATTCAACTCAAAAGCACAGATACTCTGAGATTGCTAGGCTGCCCACAGTCATTCGATGAAAGACAGAATGCTGAACTAAGGCTAATTCTGATGGAAGCTTCGATAACGACCTTTGGTCCCAGAAAAGTGACCTTTGGAGTTACAGTTGGCATTGGTAACGTGTTTGTATGGGGCAGAATTTGTTCGTTTTTCTACCAGACAGCATTTTCAATTTACCAATCTCTTGTAAGATGGCATATAAATTTGCAAGGTGTGAGCTTTGATCATTAGAAAATAGTACTCCCCTCCTCTGGTCACAAATGAGGTGGCTTATCAGACAAGGTTCTAGTCTATCTGCTACTAGGTAGAATTCTTTCTGGATTTTTTTTTTCTCCCTGTTTGTTGAGACAAGGATTTGCGGCATGGCCCAGGCTGGGCTTGAACTCAAGATCCTACTACTTTAGCAACTCCAAGTGCTGGAGTTACAGGTATGAATCACTATGCCCGGCTCTTAATAGTTTTAAAGAAAGAGAAAGTAATGTTCTAGGCAAGATAATTTAAATTCTAGTTGAAGACATTCACTATTCTTACTTTATTCTCCTTTTGAAAGTCAATAAAGCTTGAAAGTAAATAAAAACAAACATTACAGGGGAAAAGTTCTCAGAAGGGTTCCTAATCTGAGGTTAGGAAATCAGGGGGTTGGCCCAGGAGGACCCCTGATGCCAGGTTGGAGGTGGGGGCTCAGCAGGGAGCTGGCATTGAGTGGGTTTTGGCCAGAGGAAGTACAGGCAGTGCTTTCGGGAAATTTTGCTGAGGAGGCAAAGACTGAAAGAAAAAGAGCCATGACACAAGATGAGGGGGTGGGAATGCAGGGCTGAGAGGATTTTTGGTGTTGTTTTGTTTTAAAGTGGGAGGAACTTAGGGGATATTTATAGATTGTGCAGGGAAGAACTCAAAGGAGACAGAATTAAAGATGCCAGAAAGACAAAGGACTACTTTGCAGGATGAGGTCCCCCTAGAGCAGGAGGCAAACCCTGGAAACCCAGACCTTCCAGAAAACCCACTGTTCTTAGTGACTCCTGGCTCCTAACTCTCTCTTGAGTTGCTGACCACAGTTACTTGTTTGAAAGGTATTCATGAGGCCACGAGAGGCCATAAAAAATATATAAAGATTAGGACAGGATCAGCCTGCTGACTACAAATGGCAAACACAACAGGGTTAATTATACAGAACTGGAGCATTTTCTTGGGATTGGATTAGAAACTTAAGAAGGCAAGTATGTTAAACTTGTCTCAGAGACAAGCTTGTTTTCTTATATTCAAAATCAGTTGTGATTTAGTGGAGCCAAAAGGTAAAGGGAGCTCAGGAGCTAAGAAAGTTGTGAGAATGTAATGGGTGAAAGAAACCTAAATGTAGGGCCATGTGTCTTTGCTGTCTGCCTTACTCTCCTGTCATCAATATTACAGACGTTTTATGTTTTAGACAGTATCTTTTCAGGCAGTTTTAAAAATCTTTATACAACTGTGATGTTGAAGGTTGATTTTAGAAGCAGTCTAATGGAAGCTGAAGAGATCTAGTCTCCAAATAAAATAGAGAGGGGCTGTGTTTTAAGCAAGGGAGAGACAACCTCAGGCATGTGTTAGCTTGATTCTGCAAAAAACAAAAAACAAAAAAAAAACAAAAAAAAAAAACATTTTTTTTTCAGTCACAAAAGGTCTGAGAAAGCTGGCACTGAACAACTCAGGAATGGGTAAAGGAAGGGAGCCCCAGGAGCTGGCAGAACCCTGGGGCTGTCAGCCAGTTGAGATGTGGTCTGGAAGCTTTTTCCTATTGGTCTTGTTCTTCCAGAAGGAAGTTGACTTTTCTTAGACCTCGGAGTTGGGGGAGGGGAGTTTGCTTTTCATTGTATTTATACTCATGTGACAAAAGTGAAAACTTGGTACCAAACTCAGGAGCGTTTGGGTCTGCACCAGTAGGAAGGGGTTCATGGTGATGGGTAGGGACAGGGAGGGGTCTTTGGAGCTTGAAGCCAGTGACAAGTGGCCTGGCAAAGTTTAGGGATCCTAGTTGCCCAGGACCTTAGGCTGGCTGAGAGACTCATGTCAGTTGAGGAAGACTGGGATGAGAGCCACTCACCTCCCTTCCCTGACCAGTGGCCTAACTCTGGAAAAATCCAGAACTCCTGTGCCCCAGCTATCTGGCTAAAGATTGGGAAAAAAAGAAGCCATAAAATGTTCCACTAGCAGTTAGTCCAGATTATACCAGCCCCTGATTAATAAGACCATAATCTCAGCAAAAGGAGGATAGAAAGGGACAAAGCACTCAAGGCCCGCTTTGCAGAGGAAGCTGGACTTGACCTAACCGTGAGATCCAAAATGAGATGGTAAGGACAAAGGGCTGAGTAGAAGGTAGGCTGGGTTGAGGTGAGGGACAGGAAAGAGCACACATCTGAGTTTAACTCTGGGGATGAAGGGGTGAGAGCAGCAGGGCCACCTTGGAGCCTCTCTGGCTGTCAAGAAGGGAGTAAGCAAGGGTTTGCATTGATGCAGGGATGTCACTGGGGGGCAAATATTAAGGAATATAGAGGTGGAGGGATTATGTGTGGAGGTGCCAGGGTGGGAACAGATAAGTACGGAAAGAGTACCATCTCTGAGCCTTGTCAGGCATGGTGGTGCACACCTTTAGTGTCAGCACTCAGGAGGCAGGGGCAGGCAGATCTCTGAGTTCAAGAAGAGCTTGATCTACAAAATAAATCCAGGACAGCCAGGCCTACACAGAGAAACCCTGCCTCAAAAACAAAAACATCTCTGAGCCTCAAGTTCCCTAACCATGAGATGGACCCAGCAAGACTACAGCAGGTGCTAATTATGTAGTGTGTTTAGCACAGACCCTGGCACCCACTGCCCCCAATAGGAAATGGTAGCAGGGAAGACTGAAAACCACAGTATTTGGAACTTAAATGTCCGCGTTGGCATCAGTACTCAAATAGTACCAATACCAACGTTCTAATTGTGTTCATATCAGAAAACGTTTTCTCTACGAGTCACCTTCAACTGCCTCTCTAAGGCTCCCATCCCTTCTCCTGCACCCAACAAAAGGCAAAGGCGGCAGGGATACAAGAATCCAGAGCCTGCTGCTGCCTGCTGAGAGAACTAATCCCTCTCCAGGGTTCATGGTTCCACCCTCAAACTTTATAGCAGGTGCCACTAAGCCACCTCCAAAGGGCTCGACAGAGGGTGGTAACACCATGCTCTGTGGAAGTCCCGATCCATGCTAAGGTATTCAAGGTGGCAAATCCTTGAAGGACGAGCCTCAGTGCACTCTCTCTGGGAAGATACTGAGTCCTCCAAGAATCAGGGCCAGTATTTCTGCCAGTGGGCTGGAGCTTCCTTCCCTATTGGCAGTGGCATGTCAGGGACACTGTCCTGTTTTCTCCTCCACTGTGTGTTCTAACAACCTTACAGCTGCGTCTGTGAGGACAGTTCAGAAGCCTAAGTCCCCATGCTAGAACCAAAGCACAGCTGGCCACATCTGCACCTCAGCACAGTAGGTCTTGAGGGTCAGCTTGAGGATGCTGGGATGGGCCCAGGAACGGGGTCCTTGAGGTGTGATCTGGAGACCCAGCAACTTCTGTGCAGAGGGTTCCTGGCCAGCATAGTACCCTTAAGGACTGAGCTTTGGGCCCATAGTGCCTTAGTGCCAGCAACAGGGTGAAACTACAAGGCCAACAACAGCAACACCTGGCATAGAGCAGGGTGTACGCTACTTCCACCCATGCCTTCATGCAGCTTACCAGGAAATGGAGGTTGTGGACATGTGAAGGCCGATTCCCAAGGGCCAGGATGACCCAGGCTCCAGTGAGTCAGGCCCTCTAGCTGAAGCTAGAGAGAAAGGAGCAAAGCAGGGAGACAGAAAGAACTAGAAACAGAAGGTGAGGTATAAAAAAATCTGTATTTATATTACAATGACAGAATGACACAGCACAGCCCCATCTGTTAGACAGGTGGGATTGGGGGGCCCATTCCACTCTGTAGCTCAGGTCTCATAACTCACCCACTGCACTGGCACCAGGCCTCTTGTGTAGCCCCAGACTCTGGCACGGAACCTGCCCTAGTGCCCTAGTTTAGAGGCCTGAGATAACTTGCTTGCTGGCCTGGGGTAAGATCCTCTGTGCAGGCACAAGGGGCGAGAGGCTAACTGACCCCACAGAGGCAGGGAAGGCTTGGGGCAGACAGAAGGGTAGGGACTGTCCAGCCACAGTCTGGTGCACAACTCCATCTGCTTAGGAAGGCACGCTCAAGCAGCTGCAGCATAAGACTACAGAGGTGGGCCTAGGGCCCATATAGAGATAAAACCTCTGTGTCCTCTCCTGCTAGACCAGCTGGGCCTGCAGCAGGATGGTGGGTCTGGTATATCTGGACCACCTTCCAGTAAGGGGCACAAGCCTGAGCCAGGAGTTCTGAGTTCTGTTATGGAGCACCACTTGGCTTGCATGGACAGGTGCAAGTGGAGGACACAGAAGCAGCTATTTTGGTCCAGATTTCTTTCTACAGATACACAATAGCCTTGGCTGAATCCCATGGCCACCAGTAGTGGCCATAGTGTGCAAATGGTAGAGAGCAGGAGGAGGAGTAATGAATATGTAACTCTTAGCACCAGCTCCCATGCCTATGGACCACCCTCACACACCTGCAAGTAGGAGGAGCAGCTGGCTAGCACCCCTGGGTGACTGAGGCGGCCAACTCCTAGGCTAGATGGGAACCATAGCCTGAAAAGGCAAAGGGCTGAGCTGCCATGAAATTCAGCCAAGGGGGCCACTCTGATCACCAAGAGTGGACTCTGCTGGCAGTGGTGGAAGCAGAATCTGAGGTGCTGCAGATGGAGCAAGTAGCTGATAATATAAGAATTCAGGGCACATCAGGAATCCTGGAGTTCCAGGGCCCTGAAGCAAGGCCTTTAAACATAGCTCTGTCCTGTGCTAAGGGTGGGTGTGCTTAAAACAAATGCCCGAGAGACATGCTCAGCAGACACTGAAATCCCCAGTTGGGCTGAAAATGTAGACAGAACCAATTTACTAAGATACTGGTTATCCTTCTATTTCATGGGCTTTTACCCAGGCCTGCTGTCCACCTGTCCTCTGGAGTACCCAAAGGGCAAGTTCTATACCAGAGCTGTTTCCAGGCACCCTGTTCTGCCTATCAGTAAACCACCCACCCTTGGATGCTCATTGGCATGACTGAAGATAAACAAGAATTTCCCCCACAGTTTAAAAATTGTTTACAAATGCACCAGAGGAGGTGGCAGGTGCTGCTGTAGGCCAGCCCATGGCCACTACCCAAATATTGCTGTGTGGTACCCCTAGAGACAAGGTCTTCTAGTACTGAAAGGCCAACAGAAGCCTCCTGGTCAGGCCTGCCTAACCTCCAGGGAACTGTACTTATTAGCTGTCCATGGCTGACACTCCAGGTCCTTGCCCAAGGCCCAGAGAAAAGGCCCTACGCCAGCAGGCCTGCTGTCCCCAAACTTTCAGTCGCAGCCACCCTGCCAATTACCATGGAGGCAACACTGGAGGCAGGTCATAGCCCTGCAGGATACAAAAAATTAGCCACGGGAGTCACACAGGCATGCACATGTCCCTCCCAGGAGGATGCAGCTGCTGGGAGGGGCTAGGGGCTACCTGTGGGAAAGCAGTGAAGGGGGCACCCGCCATCAGGCCTGGTGCATCCCATAAGCCATGGGGACGTGCTGGTGGCAGTGGGCGGGGTGAGACGGGGACACAAGGCACACTATGACGACGTGACAGGACGGGTCCCTGAGACACTGGGTTGCTCCCACCCCTCAGCAAACCAGGACGCAACAATGGCTAGGAAAATAGAGTACAAAAATCTCATACAGGAAATAGAGACGGCACACACTCACGTCCCTTGGCGAGCCTTCAGAGCTTCTTTTCTCTTTTTAAAAATGTTTCTGTTTTGTGTTTTGGGCAAAGCCTCTGCCAGCTGAGGCTGCCCTGGGCAGGGCTTGTGAGGCTCCTTCTGAGAGCTCCCTGTCACACTTTTTTTTTTTTTTTCTTTTTTTCTTTTCTTAAGAAAGGGAGTTGAGAAAGCTTGAAGGACTCAGTGGTTTCAGCTTGCCACCCAGCTTATTCCAGTCCCTTGCCAGGAAGAAAGGCCCTATCTATTTCCTGTGCAGACTAGGCAGAGCCATTTGGGCTGGCCTAGGTAAGCAGGGGCCTGAGTGAGAGTCAGGCACAGGCTAGGGACCATCATTTCCAAATGACCTCAGGCAAACTATCTCAGGACATACATTCTCTGATGTCCACATGTCTGTGTGTATATGTTTGTAGGTGTGAGCCTAGGCGTATGTGTATACATCAGATGGTCCTAAAAGAGCAGAGCTACCCAACTTGATATAAGGTGGTCCAGCCAGACCCCAGGGACATCCCCATGGCTCCTGACACCATGGAAAGGAGGCCACCCACCTGCTCCAGATGTTCACCCAAGTCCTGCCCTTCACAGATCCCTCTGTCCACACCTCAGGAGTCTGTGGACAACAGGTAGATGGATAGATGGATGGACGGACTGCTGCACCTGCCTGCCTGCCTGCCTGCCTTCCTTTCTTCCTTCCTTTTTCCTTCCTTTCTCAGTCCACTCCTCTCTCCTGGGATCCGATGATGGGGTTCAAGCTCCCCATGGTGGTCATTAAGGCCCCTACACGGATCCCACTGAGATTTGTAGCAACAACATTTAATACTTCTGGAATGATTAGGAATCTGAGAACAGATCGTGGGCGGCTACGCTGGGCTCCAAGATGTGAGAGCCTGACCCTGCTTCCCTGCATGGGGTCTTGCCCTGCAGAGAAGGGGCAGGCAGCTTGAGTCCTGACCAAAGGGTGGTCAGGCAAAGGCAGGCAGACCAGGCAGCAGCTGTAGCTTCGAGAATGGCACAGCAGGAGGCCCATGACGAGGCTGGCTTCAGTCAAGGGAGGACTGGAAGGCTGAGACGCTTGGCTAGGTGAGCAGGCAGGTGGGCCAAGAAGCAAAGAACATGGAGCCTACGAAAGGCCAGGGCAGCCAGGCCGCCTGCAAGGGTGCCCATAGCTGCTGTCGCTGCAGCCACTGCTCTGTAGGCTGTAGTGGTCATCGGCATCACTGCTGCTGCCAACACTGTCCAGCTCCCCAGGGCCAAACTCCATGCCCTCTATGTCCACCTCTGAGAGAACAGAGAGAGGATGGGTCAGGGTGGCCCACCACGGAAGCCAGCCTGCGGCTCCCTTCTAACTTAGAGCCCATGCTTCTCTTTTATGGAAGTGGAGGCTGGGATTAGGGGAGCAAAAGAGGTCCTTTGGGCCCTGAGGTGGAAGAGGCTAGGATGGTTCTAGTCAAAGTCAAGTTATGAACCCAGACTTTGTAGCACATTGCCCAGAGGCATCCTCTGCCTTCACACAGCCATACCATGGCCTCTGTGCCTCACTGTCTTCTTCCCATCCATCCCTTCTTCATGCAAGGATGGAGAATCGCTGTAGTACTGCCAGAAGTTAGTTCAAGTGGCGTGGACGCCTTGTCACCTCTAGGATCATTCCCACACTAGGTACTTCCTTGTTCCCCTGGAACTTTGGTGATCCCCATACCCAGAGGCCAGGGATGGGCTGCCCCAGCTTATACCTTGCTTGCCTGGGGACTTACCTTGTTCTGAGTCATCCGTGGACACAGCAGAACCAGTGCTGTCAGTGCGCACACGTTCTACACTCTGCACCGATAGCTGCTCCAGACGTCGCTTTAGGAAGCGGTGCTCCCTCTGCAGCTGCTCCTTGATGCTTAGTGCCCTGCGGTCCTGCTCCTCCAGTTTCTGGGGATAGAGGGTGGTCTGTGATCCCATAGCCAAGAAGAAGTAAGCTTCCTTAGGCATAAGCACAGAAGCTTTACAGGCAGGATCCTTACCCACAACATGGCCTGCTAGACAGAGCCACAGAGTTGTCCAGCCAAAGGCTTAATATTTCCTTCCTCACCCCAGCAAGGTGACCACTTACTCAGCTTGGTCTTTCACTCTCAGCCTGCTGACTTAGTTGTAGAATGCCCAGTCCTGCTGGCTAGCCCCAGGAAGTGCAGACACATGTGGGCTTCAAGCCTTGAGGCAGTGTCATCCAAACTGGCAGGCACCTCCCTCCAGCCCTACTCATGAGAGCCCACCTGCCCCCAGACTGGGCTTTCACTGAGTCTACCCGCATCATGTGAAAATGGAACAGTGCTGGGAAAATGGTGAGGGCACCTGCAAGCAGGCCTGATGTATTCTCTAAGGCAGATCTTCCTACTTTCTTAAGGCCCACCTGAGACACTGCTGTTCTATTAAAACCCCAGGGCCTTGGATATAACTCTTTCAAAGTTACTGCCACCGGACCTGTGAGGCCACACCTGTGAGACAGAGGACCCCCTCTGAGGGGAAAGAGACCTACGGTGGTTGACTGAAAATGTTCCAAGAACACTAAACTGCAACAGGCAACATCTCCCTCACCTAGCCTCACACCAACTCCTAAGAAGTTTCTACCACTCCTCCCTCTCCCCTTTAAACACTGTCTATGAAGGCAAACAATGACTTCTTGCCCCTCTCTTACCTCCGTCTCTTCTTTCAGCTGCTTCCCTTTCATAGCCCAGCACTATAGAGAACTATCTGTACCAGCCTGGAGCCTGTCCTATCCAGCCAACTATCCTGTCTCCCTGCCAATCACCACTCAACAAAACCCAACACAAGCCATGTAACCTCCACACCACCAATCAGCTTCTGTTGGGCTTCCCCATAAGCTCCTGATACATACCTGCTGGGTGATTCTACCACCTACCTCCAGCTCCTCTGAACCACTGCTGCCCAAGGGTAGGGATGGCTGGGGGACTTCAGGGTGGCTGACTGGACACAGCATGCTTACCTTGATGTGCATCTTAGCACGCTTCAGGAGGCTCAGAGTGGTGTGGCGTGTGCTGTCGGGGCCCAGGGGTACCAGCTGCTTGAGCTGCTCCAAGTAGAGCCTGAGTTTAGCTCGTCTGAAAGAGCCAGAGACAGACTATCAAGCTAGGTAGCAAATTCCACAGAACTATGGCAAGTGAGGCTGGTATAATGTGAAAGTGGCCAGCTGGGAACCTCCACAGGCCCCAGCACCACTATAGGCCGGCCTCTTGGCCTGGGAGTTGGCCTAGACTCTGCCTCAAGGCTGGAGTATCTGGATCCCTCTCCAGGAGTTCCTTCCTGGCCTGGATAATACCTCCACTCAGGAGCAGCCTGGCACAGTAACTCTGTGGATGTGGTGTCCACATGATTCCTGGGCCTAAGAGCCCAGGGAACAAATATCTGAGTCACCTACTGTGCCCTGTACAGTGTGCTCTAGTCACTCTTGTCCTCACAGAAACATGAGTTGAAAAGGTAGAGGGAGGGCTGAGGACCACCTTTCTCTGCTGAGTTTGTGGTCTCGTTGGAAATTGCATCATTCCAGATTTTTGTTCCTGTATCCATTTGTGTGAATCTGTTTTTTTCACAAAACATGGAGCCATATTCATAGTACTTGTTCATGTGCTGCAGTACTCTCCTGCCTGGTCTGAAGGTGCAACTAGTTCACCTCCAGAACTACCTCTGACATTACAATGATAAGAGAGACTACTGTCTGCACATTCCACCTGACCAGTATCTGCAGGAAACCAGTGTTCTGCCCATTATCCACTTATGGAGCTAACCACGCTCCCTATAGGAAGCCAAGGTGGTTTCTAAGTCAATTTCTAATTGGACAAATTCTTTAGAAGTGTAACTGGCAGGTCAAAAACAAAATTTTTTTTGAAGATTTTGAAAACCTGTTGCCCATCTGCCCTGTCATGGCCAGTGCCCACACACACTCCTTCTTTTACAGTGTTTTGTTTGTTTAAATTTGCCTGTTTTTTTTTTTTTTTCTAAAGAGGGGGGGTGTGTGTGGAGTTGGATGGGTCGGGGAGGTGGGAAAAATCTGGAAGGAGATGGGGGGAAACCATGATTAGAGTATATTGTATGAGAGCCAGGTGTGGTGGCGCATACCTGTGATCCCAGCACTCAGGGAGGCAGAGGCAGGTGGATCGCTGTGAGTCGAGGCTAGCCTGGTCTACAGAGAGTCCAGGACAGCCAAGGTTACACAGAGAAACTATGTCTCAAAAAACCAATATATAGTCACAAAGCCCAAGTACACCCATAGACTCTCTCAGTCCTAAAAGACTCTGGAAGGACAACAGGCAGGAACAGCCATTTCTTGGACAAGGGAGGGGGCCCTTGGGAGCAGGAAGACTGTAGAGAGATGTTAATAGCCACACACAGAGGGTTGGAGTGCCACCCATGGCCATTATGCCTTTCAAACTGCACCCATTGCTGACAAAGTACTTTCTCATCTAGCGTCCTGGCCTAGGACCCTGAGGCCTTTTTTGGTGAACTGGAGTTAGACCTTTGCAAGAGGTCTAACTCAAGTTAGACCCTGAGGCTGGGCTTAGCCAGGAGGCAGAGTGAGTGAGATCTGTGTAGGCCCCAGACCCTGCCTCAAGGCTAGAGGATCTTCAGGCTCACCATACACAGCTCCCGGCTCCATGCTACTGCATGCATAGTTACCCTCCCAGGGAATCCAGATCTCAGCTGCACTGCTTCCAGCACAGTGCACATACAACCCTAGGAACTGAATAAAGCTGGACTAGGGAACAGAGATGGAGCCTTCCAGAGATAGTGTCCATTGTCCTGGTGCCATCACTGGGATATGGCAGGTGAAGCTGCCAGGTACCTTCTCACCAGCTGTACTTGTTACACAGCAAATAGCAATTCCTACAACCCATCACTTAATCATGTCAGCAGCAATGGCTTTTTGGAAATTGACAGAAAGTGCAAATTGACAAGAAACAAAGTATTCCCAAGTTCTCTGTCCCAGATATGACCACACTGTTGTTTCAGTGTATCTATTTTTCCAGTTCATGAGTGTTAAGTGAAAACATTAGGATACAGAACCACATGTGACAAGTGATCCACTTTTGTTTAAAAAATAAAAAGAGCAGACGCACAGAGGAGACTCAACAAAACACAATGAAGCACAGGAAGCATGCATCTCCAGGGATGCGGCTGGCAACCTTTATTTCTTTAGCTTTGTGCTCTTCTGTATTTTCCAGGTTTTCTATGCTTTTTAAAACCCCACATTTACTTTTACAATCAGAGAAAGACATGTTTGTACAAGAAAGAAACACGGCTGAAAGACAATTAACAGTAGGAACGCACTTGCAGTACATATAAAAAGACAGAACGGTTAGTATTCGTGATATTTTGAGCTCATACACATCAAAAATTAAGAATACTGCCTCCGTGTAACAATGAGCAAAGGACACAAACAGGCGAATTGCAGGAAACAAAGGGCAAATCTAACATGAAAACGGACTCCATCCCATGAGTAATTAGGAAATAAAGACTCAAACAAATGAGCAGATGTTCATTTTCTCCTTTGTACCTACTGGAATGGAAAGAGGTGGCTGAACTCACTTGGGGGGCACAGGGAGGCCTGTCACAGTTCCAACTGACCACTGAGCAGTACTTCTATTTTATGTCTAGAATCTGGGTGCTACAAACCATCCCTGGGCATCTGAAGACTTAGCTCCACCATGATCAGAGGGAACCTGGGATGTACAGCCGTGGGCCTCTACAGGCTCTGAGGCCAGGGGGCTGGGGACACAAGGACATAGGTCTGGAGCACTTACATGGTATTGGATGAAGGATCCTGGTGGGGATAGTGGGTAACAAGGGCCCCTTATCATTTCAGGGGCCTCCAAGTAACCAGGATAAGGTCTCTGGCTAGAGTGTAGGGAGCACATGAATAATAGTTTAGAAAAAGGTTATTTCTTCAAGAGGCAAAGAAAAGTCACATGGCCATACACAGCAATGTAAAAGTAATATGTCAACCCAAACCCAGGAGAGTCCACACCCAGGGCTAAGCCTATGGCTGCTGAGGGGATGTGGGAAAGGCCCTCCCATATTCTGAGCATCACAGTCCTAATGTCTAGAATCTAAGTCCTCCCTAAAGTCACTACAGCACGCCAGACTCAAGACATGCATGGCTGTCCCTACGCATTCCAGACTTGTCAAACCCCTGTGGTTCTAAAGGAGGCAGAACTGACCCCTGGAATTTCTGCATTACTATCATCAACAGCCCTCCCTCTCCTCACAGCCTATCCCTTGACCCTGCCACACCTAGTGTCTCACCAAAACCCCCTACTCCTCAAAGAAAGGCCTAAAAGCTGGGGGTGAAGACTTGGCTCCATGCCAGGGTCCCCCAGCACATATGGGTCAGAGTCCTGGCTGGATGACAGAAGTTCCAGGCCAGGTTACTGGGAAAAAGGCAGTGAGGAATTCCACCACAGTCAGTAGGACGGGGCCAGGGGAGCCCCATTCTTTTCTATTTATTAGCATCTTCTAGCTGTTGCTAACAAACATGTTCCTTGTGTGGTTCCACATGGCTGCATCAGGCACTTGTGGGCACCCATGCAAGAGCATGCCAAGGGTACCATGGCAAGCCTTAATAACCATCTTTATGCCTGGGTTAGGGGCCTAGCTGAGGGCTTAGACCTGACCTCTGAAATAGACTGGGACATTCCAGGAGTGCCAAGGTCCTGGAAGAACACCTAGAGCTCTCATTAACACTAGCTACGACCAAGGACTAGAGCTGAGCCTAGGAGGGTTGCCGGGCCCTGAGGTCAGCCACAAGTGCCAGCCTTGCCAGATATACCAGAGCTACTGACCTACAAAGGTAGTAGGCCTAGGCTTGGCTGGGTACTGTTCAAAGCTCCAAAAGGGGATGTTCCACAGGCCCACCTGAGTCTCTTTGACGGATACTTCTAGTGAAGGCAGTGTCCAGGGTATGCTTCTTATGGTCTGCTAGGCAGCTAGCCATGTGTTTCCTTCCTTCCTCGGGACAATACACAGCCCTTCCTTCAGCCAGCAGCCAGAAACACCGGCATCAATCTCAGGCCAGCTACAGCCAGCCATAACTGATGACCCTACCAGGGCCCAAGCCCCAGGCCCGACTGCTCAGGGCTGTCTATATCTATGTCCTGATCAGCTAGGTAGAAAAACTCTGCCTTGATCTGGGTGGCAGAAAGCCCCAAGATGCCCATCCAATTTTACCCTGTGTTAAATTAAGGTCCTCCATGAGACCCAGTCTAACTATAGGCTTGTGAAGGATGGAGGATGGCAGAGACCAAGGCCAAGGTCAATGGATATCTGCAAAGGTCAGAGGTCAACCCTTATCCTCCCTAGAGGTTGCCATACCCTTACTACCCACTCTTCCCTCAATGGCATTCCCCATCTATCCTCACCACCAGCTGTCCTCCCAAACACTGCTTCCAGAAAGCCCTTACCATAGGCTAGGCCAATGTGCCTGAGTCTGGACAAGGTGGGTTGATCTCTTCTGACCTAGTAGAAACCCCAAGCCTGCCTCACACTGGCTTCCATCCCTGTGGCCTGGCCCCTTGGGAACCCCCCAAACACATAAACCAGTGCAGGAAATGCATCTCCTCAGGGAACATGGTGTTCTGTCCCTGCCCAGCCACCCGCCCCAACTAGAGTCCTGAATCCCGGGAGAGCGGAAGTTGGCGCTGCACTGGGCGCAGGCATGGAGGAGGGGGAGGGAAAGAACTGGCTGGGCTCCAGACTTTTCCAGTGCACCCAGGAGGGCTCATCTAGGATGCAGAGTTATGTACCCCACCCCTTAAACTGCAAGAAGGCAAGACAGAATTGGTCCACTCTACAGACAGGAGCAGAGGTCAGGATAGAGCTGCTGCCTAGTATCTCTCAAAGGCTTTCCCTGTCCTCGCATGGGGGATACTGCTTATGTGGCTGCCTGGCCTAAAATACCTCTGCTTCAGCTTAGGCTGCTGCTGGCAGCCACGAGTATCTCCTTCACCTCCAAACTCCCAGGCCCAGCCATACCTTGTCACCACTGTCAGAGGGGGAGACACAAATGACAAAATGAAGCAGCCTCAATGGCCACCAGCCATACCAGGAGCTGACTAGAGCCAGGGTGCAGGGAGAATACTTGGGCCTGATGCCCTTCTGGTGCTCTCTCAGTCATGCAGAGCATCATAGATCCTTAGAAAGGAGGCCCCAAAAGGACAAAGGGAAAAGGGGAAAGGGCTGAATCCCATACAAAGGCCACTGCACTGAGAGCTGAAACAAAGCTTCTTAAGGGGCTTAGGAACACCTAATCACACCCCTGTCCTCTTCCAGGGAGCCAACTCAGACTGCTACCAGTACAAGGAGCTATGCTTCAAATCCTTGGTACCCACCCAGCTCTGACCCCTGGCTAAACACCAAAGAATAGGGCCTGAGCCCAGACCTTGTCTGCCAATCCAAAAACGCTTGAGAACAGACCCTGGCTCCCTCTAGAACTGGCCTCTCCAGAGCCTAGAGCATAGCCTGGCAACCCAGACAGGTCAGGCCAGAAAAAATATCCCTCAGTAGGGGGGTTGAGGGCAGTCACATCCAGTAGCTCACATGGGAATGGGGGTGCCACTTACCTGTGCTTTTCTAGTTCGTTGTGTGAAGACCTGTTTAGAGAGATAGAAAGACAGGGCTCACTCTAAGGCAGAGCACAAACAACAGTGGCTCTTTGTAGAGAGCCAAGAGCCCTTCCACAGTGACTTGGAGGATCTAGGTCCAGGATATCTCTGGATGTTGAGAGCTAGGGCAGGTATTCAGCTGCCTACCAAAGGCTTGGGTAACCTCACACTGAACTACAAAAATTGGGGGGGAGGGCACAGAGATGCAAGTAGATCTAAGGGGCCCATTGCCACACAAACCAATCAGTGAGGCTCACGGTGGCTCTCACTGGCAGGAGGACAAAGGGCCCCTTCCAGAGTAGGTAGAAAGTCCTAAGAAACAGGAGTAGCTGGTATTGGAAATGTCTAAGTGTCCAGCAACCTTCCTTCTCTGCTCCCCTTTCTCTGAGGCCAGCTGTGCCCTTTTATGCAACACAATCCACACAACACACACACACACACACACCCCCCACACAGAACCAGTGGCAGTCTGAGCATGTAACCCGAAGGCCAGGCCCTCAAGAGACAAGATGATCCTGTCCTCCCATGGCCACTCTGTCATACAGATAGGAATATCCAGGACAGAGCTGTTAAAGCCAAGTCACCTTACAGGGGCATTTGAAAGAAATGTATGCTTTTTGGAGGCCTGTAGTTACATAGAAGATGGCTGCTTCCATTTCTCTCACAAGCTGTATTACACTAGAACATATTAACCAGGGACCAAATCTACCTTCTTTCAGAACAGTAATCCCCACGGTTTGCTTGAACCCCACAGGACAAGCCCACTTACTTGCAGCAGACTTCTGAATACCACAGGTGCTACTCAGGTTTCCAAGTATCTCTCTCAATCTAAGGGAATGCCACAAACCAACAAGGGCTTCTCGGTCCCCAGGTTGCTGCACATACGAGCAGGAAGCTTAGGACACACCCGGACCAAGTCCCACCTGGGCTTCTGCTGGCCACTGCCCACCTACCCCTTCCTCTATTGCTTCGGAACTTGAATCTGTTATCTTTCACCAAAAAGCGTACACACACTGCCTTCCCCACCTACTGAAGCCATCAGGGTACCAGCTCACCCATCAGGCCCTGCAGATTCCTGGGCTAACCTTACTGTGTAGTTCCCAGGGTCTTCCAAGACCTGCTAGTCACTAGGTCTTGGCCAGAGCCTCAGAATCGCTCCACGGGCCAACCAGAGCTAAGCAGCTCCTCACTGACCTCTGGAGAACTGTCCTTCAAGCCAAAACTGCAGCCCAACTGGGTCTGTAAGACTGCTACTTTGTGTAGAAGGCTGGGGGCAGTAGTGGCCTTCAGTGCTGAGACAGCCCCCACTTCCAGCACCAAAGGATGACACTTGTCTTGCTCCCAGCCCTGGGCCACAGGGCCACTCTTCAGCAGCATGGAGGATGGCCTTTCTTGGAACTCTTCCTGAGTCCAGTAATCCTGTGTGGGAGCTTGTCCCACAGGTTCTAGAAGCACCGGTGCCTGAGGAGAGGTCACGGCTGTGCCAGATGCTGTCTGGCCATCACTTTGATCTGATCCTTCAGCTCCCCTTCTCAAAGAACTTGACCCTGAAAGGCCAGCTCCAGCCCCCTCCCACGGAGTCACCGCCATTAGGGTCCTGTACAAAGTCCTAAGAATCAATCACAGGGCTGCTGTCTCCTTACCTCAGTGCTTCCCTTGACCATCTCTCACCCTGGCCTGTTTTCCCAGCTCCTCAATTCAGCTTGACTGAATACAGCCTCCAGGGAGAAAGGGCTGTCAACCAGGCCCTAAGGCCTTAGGCCTTGAGGGAGTACATTCTGTCCAAGGAAGCTTTAGGGGAGGTACACCCAAGTCAGGAAGGCCCTCTGTATCCTCTGCCCCTTGCACCCAGTTCTGCATCCCAGCAGAAGGTAGAAGGCTAGGACCTCATCCAGAAACCGGGGACAGAGGTGGTTAAGTGGCCCTAGGCAAGCAACTGAATCTGTCTGTGCCTTGGCTTCCTCAGTTGTAGAGATCAAAATAAGACTTCTTTTAGAAGGCTAGGTCAGATTGCTTACTTGTGTATATGGCAGAAGCATTTGAGGGCCTCCGCTCAGGAATTCCTATCAGCTGTGGGTACTCCATGCCACAGGCACCTGAGCTCCCAACCTGGGGTTTAGGGCAACAGAAGGAGGGGCCAGGCCATCTCACTGTGGAAGCCTGGGACAGTGAGGCCTCCAACATACTTTGTCCTTTTGCAAACTGTCCAAAGCAGCAGACAGACCAGGGGCTGGGACTCAGGCAGTTAGAAATTCAACAATTTCTTGCCAGGCCTAGGACACCACAGAAATAGGTCCTTGTGCCAGCCTCTCTGTTTCCCAAGAACAGACAGGCCACAGGAATGAGCCGCACCCTCTGCCAAGGGGCCCAGAAGCCCCCATCCTGCCAGGGAAGCTCCCAGACTGACCACACAGGAGTGGCTAGGCCAATATTGGCCCCTAGACAGTGTCAGGTGTGCCATGGTCCCCACTGAGGCCAGGAAGGTGGAACCCTTAGGAGTCCTAGCAATGCCCAAACCCCAGCTTGAGGGCTTCCTCCAAGAACAAGGCCAAGATGAAGAGAGTCGGACCTTGGGACTCTTGGTAGAAATAACTCCTTGCAGCTCTTCACAAGGCCAGCCCTGCACTTGTAGTTGGAGTTTCCCGTCAGTAGGCTGCACAAGACTGGTAGGTACCCAGGGAGGGGTCTCGGGCAGGCTCCTGGGGGCAAGGTGCTGGGCCTAAAAGCACAGCCAGCTCCAGGAAGTGCAAGGGAAGGAGGACTGCCCAGTTCGGCCCAAGCGAGGTTGTAGCGGTCGGCACCAACTGACAACTCCTCTCCTGTCTGGAAAAGTCCAGAACGGCTCTGGGCGAGCGCGGGCGCTGTACGCGTGGCACTGTTTACGGCGGCGGGAGGCGCGGCCGCGGGAAGATGGCGACGCGCGGGCGGGGCCGGCACCTCCTCCAGGCGGGCCGCCCGGGTGCGCACAGGACTGCGCTGGGGACGCGGAGAGGACGGGGACACTCGGGCGGGGCCAGCCCGAGCTGGCTGGCCACAGCGAGCGGGGCTGGGGGGGGGGGGGGGGGGGTACCTGTTGTTCGGGGCCTTGCGCACCAGGCCGGACGTCTTTGTTTTCTTCCTGGCGAAGTCCCCGTCGAAGGGCAGCACGGAGGCGTAGCCGTGCTCGGCCTCTGCGGGACAGACGGTGCGGTCAGCGGCCCCCTGCTCCCGCCCGCTGCCCGCCCACCCTGGCACAAAGGGGCGCCGGCTACCTCGGTCCCTACGCTCCAGGTACTCGGCCGCCTCCAACAGCAGCAGCAGGGAGTTCAGCTCCATCCTGCCGCCCGCGCATGGGACGGCGGCGGCGGCTGCCCGGCGCGCTCCTGCCGGCTCTGCTCGCCGCACGCCCCGCGCCTGGCGGCACACCAGCCCAACTTGCGGACTCCAGCGCTGGGCCGCCACCCTCCGCCCCAGGCCCTCAAATTGACACATAAGGCGAGCGGCGGTCGACGCAGCCAATAGGCGCAGGTGCTCTGGCCTAGGGGGCGGGTCCTAGGCTAGCGTCGGCCAATGGGAACTGGCCGAACGCCTGGGGCAGAGCTGAGAATGTTGACAGATGCGAAGCTTGGCTGGGATAGGCTGGCCCCAGTAGTAACAATTTAGAAGCCCAAGCTTAGCAACAGCACGTGGTGGCCCGGCCCCAGTGCTCGCTGACTGGCGGCCGTCGTGCATGTTAAGTAGGTATTGCACACCGATTGGGCCAGTCCTTCTATGTAAATTGAGGCTGCGGACCAATGGCCGGCGACGGGGCGAGGGGCCAATGAGGGCGCCGGGGCAGGACGCGTTGCCGAGAGGAAGCACGGAGCGGTGGGACGGCTGCCCGGCCTACGCTGGGGCCCGGAGGACGTGGACCGTGTCTCGGTAGACACCCGGCAGGATGCGCTGCGGACACGCGCCCCGGCGCTTTGTCGTGCCCATGCACGTCGTGCGCAACGACCTGTTGCCCAGAGTCAGCTGTACCACAGTCTCGGGGGAGGACCCAGCTGGGAGCCTGATTGGGGCCGGCTGGGATCTCGCTAAAGGACTGCAAACGACACCCGTCTGTCACGAATAGGGGCTTCAGGGAAAGCTAAAACTTGGGACAGGGACACAGATTGGAACCTAAAAGCTTATCAGAAGATGTCAGACCCAAAGTAGGCACGATCACTCAAGTTTCCTAGTGGCCATCAGGAGTCAAAGGAAGGTTACCAGGCCTAAAGAAGGACCTCCAAGATCTGCTGACACAAGCGAGAGGAGTCCGGAGTGTAGACTGTTTGTGGTGCATGGTCTAAGTGTAGGGCCATTCCAAGAGCCAGGCTGTTGACAAAGAGGGTGAGCTCTTCACCAAGCTCTTGGCTGTCTTGGCCACCCTGCACCCTAATGACCTGGACCCGTCAGGCTGGCCTATAGATGCATGGAGGGATGGGCAACCCAAAATGCCCTAACACTGTCCTTCTCTACCCCACTTGTCCCACCCCTTGATCCTCTCTGGTTGGGGACTAGCCAGCAGGCTGGACAGTTCTGTGGCCTGAGATGGCTGGACAGCAGCCCCTAAAATGGAAGGAGGTGACTGTAGCAAACAGAAATTATTGATGCTGTACTTTACTTTAGGACCAAGGTGAATGCATTTTGTGCACTGCCTGTGGGTCCCCACATGCCCACCATGCAGAGAAGGGAGCTTGCAGTGTCCCCTTGAAATAGAAAAATGGAAATTAGTGCTCCCACACTCAGGGCTGCTAACAATCTGGAAATGTGGAAACCAGAGCCACCTCCCCTCCAAGCCTGGGCGTGAGCCACAGATGTCTGACCTGTGGGGCAGGATTAAGAATAACAGGTGCTCAGATGGAGCCTGCAAAACCAAAAGAGGAACCTCATGCTGCCATAAACAGTCCTGTATAGACACCGAAAGAACTCCTCAGGGTTGGCTGAGGTGCCTCCTGGACCAGCCCCACAATCATCCTCAGAGCCAGCATAGATCAAACCAGTTAGTCTGTAGGGCTGGCCAGGGTTGTGAGGGAGAAGGATGTCCATCTTTCTGGAGCTTTGGGACTCCTGAGCTCAGGACCCAAGATTTTGAAGGGCGCACCCTTGCTTTGGCAGGCTGGTGAATCACCTCCAAGTGCTAAAGCAAGACTGCCCTCTCCAGTCTGCTGCCTCCTGCTATTTGGACGGGATGTTCCAGTGTGCTGAAGTGGAGCACAAGGGTGAACACAGCCTCCCAGCCCGGGAAACTTTTAATCTTAATCTAGGACACTAGTTCCCACTATCTGCATCAAGGACAATGGCCTTTCTGGTGCCAGGAGCGCTCTTCCTCTTCCAGAGAGTGCAAAAACGGGGAGAAGTGGGCAGTGGTAACCTGGTAAGCAAAGGTCGGCTATAGTGGAGTCCCAGGGCCAGGCAAGCCTGCTGCTCAAGGAGGCTGGAGAATAAGCTGGATCCCCAGAGGAGACCTGGAAGATGCTTCTCAGGACAAGAACTGGCTGGCAAGTGCAACTGGTCCCATGGAGACCCAAAGGTTCTCTACACCCACGGACTTCAGTGTGTGAGATGGGGCACAGGGACCAGCAATGCCTGTATGCATCAGGGCCCCAAAAGTTCCCAGGATTTGAGAAAAGGAGGCAAGCAGGCTGCCCAACCAAGACCCTCTTCCTCATCACGGGTCACTGTGACCTGCCAGGACCATGCAGAGGAGACCAGTCGAGAGAGCCTAGACTTTCCCAATGGCAAGTGCAAAGTCCAAAGTGTGAGTAAGAAGGAAGATATCTCCACTCTTGGTAAGTGCATTGCCACCCAAGTCGTCAGCCTTGTCTTCCTTCACAAATGGAGGGTAACTCAGACCCAAAAGAAAGGACATGGGGCCTCCCCAATTTGGGGCGGATGACCAGGGACAGCAACTCTTCAATCTGCCTAGCTTTTCCCTAATGGCCTTCCCCACCTCAGTTTCTCTGACTAGGAATGAGGCTAGCATCCACTTCTGGGGCATCTAGAGGGTTGACAGAAGAGCTTGTGGTCCAGTGTGGGAAAAGGCTGTTTGATCCCTCTCTCTCTCTCTCTCTCTCTCTCTCTCTCTCTCTCTCTCTCTCACACACACACACAGAGAGAGTTCTGAGAAACCTCTAGAAGACTGTTCTTGGGTCTTTCCCCACTTACCTGGCCCTGGCTTCCTCTCTCTGGGACCAGGGTCACCAGCCTACAGTAGACAGCACCCATATCCTCCCTGTCCAGGTATGACAACATTGCCCAGGCTTCTTAGGAGCACCAGAGAGTGTCCCACACAGCCAGAGGGAAAAGGCTGGTAAAGCCTACTCCATCTCCTCCTCCATCTCCACCTGCCCCTGACCCCTCCTCTCCCACCTTTGGCCTCTTCAATCATTGGAGACACCCAGCAGCCACCCACCCCAGCCCTAGCATCCTGTTTTGCTTACACCCTGGCTCATTTGTCAGAGTCCTACAGCCAGCACCTGCTTCTCCTCAGACCCTTAGTGGGAAGCTCCTGGAGGAGAGGCCTGGATCTATATAGGATGGTGGGCCTAGCATGGAGAGCCATGATGAGCTCTAGAAGCCTCTGCTACCTGCACTGACAGGCTAGTGGTGTGCCCACAGCAGGGAAAAGAATGCGGAGGTTCTGGTTGAGTCCCTTCCTGACAGTGATTCTAAATTCTAGCACGGCTATGAGAATCTGGCTCTCTGAGCCTCAGTTTCCCTAACTATAAAATAAAAATTACGACCTCTAGCTTTTGGAGGGCTTAGTGACACATGATGCATGAAAAACCCTAGAGGGTAGCAGGCTGAGCACAAGGTAGTGCCTAGGAAACAGAAGGGATGTGAGCAGCTCTGGGATGGGGTTAAACCCCTGGCCACACCCACGGGGAAATGGAGCCCATAGGGGCAGGCCTACCCAGCCACAACCGGTCAGAACCTGGGGGCAGCTGAGGTTGCCAGGCTGGCCAGTCACAAGCCCCAGCCTGGTCTCTGAGCACTTGGAGGCCTTCCAGAAAGTGTGAGAACACTGTTCAGAATACAAAAGGAAGACAGGGAAATCAAAGTGCATCAACATGTAACTAACTGTCTATGGAAACTAATATGCCAGGATTATCTTTAGATTTAAAATAAAACAGTTCATTGTGTTTGTGAATGATTGTGGAGTACCTTTTTTTCATTGCTCCCCATTATTAAATTAACAATTTATATGTTAAATTAATTTTGTGGCCCCAAAGGTCCAAATCTTTCCAATGCTTTCACAGATGAAAAATAAAAAGAAGTCCAAGAATGAAAAATGTGGGTGGGTGTGTTCATGTACTGCCTTGGGGTCTCCACAATTGGGGGACCAGAACTCTGGCAGCTGAAGCAGCTAGGCCTTGACCAAGAGGCCCACGGAGGGCCCAGCCTCGCTCTGCCTCTGCTCCTAGACTCATATGACTGTGGGGTCCTCCTCCTTGGAGGTCAGACATGAACCCAAGCACCTGTGCTGTGCTTTATGTGTATTTGGAGGTGAAAGTCAACACTGCTATCAAAGAAGGCTTCCTTGTGAGCCTGGGAGGAAGCACAGGCTTCTAGACTTTGGAGCTAGAGATGCCACAGCACTTTGGGTCCTTATTACCTCTTCCAGCTTCCTCTGAATGCCCTGACAGCACCTGACACCCACAGAGGCCACAGAACCTCTCAGTCAAGAATGCTGTTAGCCCCACCCCAACCCTACATGTGAAAGGTACATTGTTCTAGCCTGAACTCCTGGACTCCCAGAGCTTCCAGAGAATGTCTTCCTTGCTGTGTTAGCTATAGAAACTTCTGGCCCCTGCAACCATCTGCAGAACCTTGAAAACTAGGGAATGGCCACTGGGTATATTCTGTCTGGACTTAGGGTGCCAGTTAACAGTGGAGTGGCCCCTGCATAGAGCACACCGCCAAGCAGCAAAGCTTTGCTGAAGAGACATGGAGTGCCCCCTGGTGGCAACTAGGGACTGCAGCTAGAACTCTTGTTGGGTCAAGGACACCCAGAAGGGAGAGAAGAAGCAGGCTTCAAAGCCATGTTCTCTTGGCCACAAGAGCTATCATTATCACAAGGACACCAAAAGTCCTTCAGAATCCCATGTCATGCCATATGCCCGTGGGTTACTATACATCCGGCTTATGGCTGCCTTTTCTCCACTTAGCACAGGACTCGGCTGAGGGTGCAGTAGAGACACCGTGTTTCCTCCCTGGGGTCCTGGGGAGAGGCAGATAGGGACTAAGGACAAGCTAGCTGTACAAATGACACACAAACGGGCAAAAACGTGTCAAAGAAACCTCTGAAATCTAATGTGTACTTGGGGGCCCCAGAAGTGAACAGAGTAGACCCAATGGAGGTGACAAAGTGGGACTCTACAGTGATTTAAGTGAGACTGTCCCCTATAGGCTCAGGTGTTTGGACACTTGGTCCCCAGATGGTGGCATTGTTTGGGAAGGT